GGTACAGAAGTGGAACAAAGGAAAAGGGCTTTAGTCTTTGGGGGCCAGCAAACAATGGAAAGGCAAATCCATGGGGAGGGTGATGGGATAGGAGGGCTTTGTAGCGAGTTTGCTGTGTACATTCTCTCGTGCATTCTCCAGACTGGTGGAGTCTGCAGTTGTCCCTCGCAACCGAGAGTTGTTCTGTCCTCCCTGGTAGAGAGGGGGAGGGCAGAGAGCTTTCTCGAGGCTGCTGCTTCTGCACTGCCTTCAGCCCAAAAACATCCTTCTGTCAGAATGACACCCGTTGGGTGGCATCACCACCCCGTCACAGGTGTACCGTGCTTAATGGATGGCGCCTCTTCTCTGCTCCTTTTTCCAAATGTCACGTTCTTCTGTTGCTTCATTCCATCTCTGATCCTGTTTCATTGAGTTTCATCATCAAGACCAAAATAAGGATGAGAGTCACGGCCTCAAAATAATCTGGTGTCCATTCTAAAATCTGCTCCTCTGTACCATCCCATAGAAGGTGAGGGGGGAAGAAAATAAGTAACTAAAAACATAAATAAATAATTTTTTTTAAAAAAATCTCTTGTTCACCTGGACTTTCAAGTCTTATTTGGTTATTTACTTACAACAACAGGCAAAAAAACCCCCCAAATTTTCCTAAGGATGAGCTTTCTATTCATATTATTCAAACACTTAGGGACTTTTCTCTGAGACATATTGCCAGTGATGATTTAAATCTATTCCATAGTCATAGATAAAAGCAAACTGAAACACATATAACAATTTAAAAACTATTTATACCCAATAATTCCACTCCTGGAAATCATTCCTCAGGAAACAATGTAAAATATGAGCAAAGATGACAAAGCAACACTATTTGTGACAGTAAGCCCTAGAAGACAAACAAAACATTTAAAAATATTTGCTTAGTTGCATAATTGTAATACTTCCATTCATTGCACTGATGCAACCATTAGAAAAATTCTATTTACAAAATAAGTTTATTGGCATGAAGGGACATTTATAGACATATGTTAAATGGAAAAAGCAACTCACAAAACTATAATATTTTAACTATGCAAAAATCACATGCATTATTATTTGTTTAGGGATCCATGTGGTTGAAAGAAACACTGAGATCAGCTTAAGCAAAAAAAAAAAACAAACAAAAAACCAAGAGTATGGCCGGGCGCGGTGGCTCACGCCTGTAATCCTAGCTCTCTGGGAGGCCGAGGCGGGCGGATTGCTCAAGGTCAGGAGTTCAAAACCAGCCTGAGCAAGAGCGAGACCCCGTCTCTACCATAAATAGAAAGAAACTAATTGGCCAACTAATATATATAGAAAAAAAGTAGCCGGGCATGGTGGCACATGCCTGTAGTCCCAGCTACTTGGGAGGCTGAGACAGAAGGATCGCTTGAGCCCAGGAGTTTGAGGTTGCTGTGAGCTAGGCTGACGCCACGGCACTCACTCTGGCCTGGACAACAAAGCGAGACTCTGTCTCAAAAAAAAAAAAAAAAAACCAAGAGTATGAGAGAGTCCCCCAGACCCAAGAGTGACAAGGGGAGAACTCTGAGGACCAAGGCAGCGTTCTCTCCCACTCCCTGGGACCCCATGTTCCAGTTCTCTCTTGGTCAGTTCCTTCATCACGCTCCCCACCCACCAGCTTTTCCCCCCTGCTGCGTGGGACCTAGTCATGACTCCCAGTTGAAATACTCAACAGGGACTGACTAGAATTTCTGTAACGTAATTCCAAATTTTTGGCATATAGGACTGAATTAGCCCAGCTTGGATAGACAGGTCCGTTTCTTGTCCCATTGGATGTGGCCAGAGGGCAAGGGTCATTTTGTCCACCCAGCTGCAGGGCAGCATTTCTGTACGTGCATTATTAGGAGTGGAGGGGAGGGAAATTTTCTTTTTTTCCTCTAACCTCCTGGGTTCCCTGCGTGGGCTCAAATTAAACTGACAAAAGGTTAACAAAAGAAAAACAAACAAGTTTATTAACACACGCGGCATGCATATACACATGGGAGAATTCAATGATGAAGAACTCCAAGGGGTGGTTAAAACTTGGGGCTTAGAGCCAGGTGCATTGGCATGCCCCTGCACCTATTGCCCCAGCTACTTGATCGCTTTAGCCCAGGAGTTCGAGGCCAGCCTAGGCCACCTAGTGAGACTATCTCAAAAAATAAAACAAACAAAAAAAAGTGAGACTTATATAGCACTATAACAAAAAAACAAAAACAAAAACAAACCATAAATGTGTTTTTTAATATCGTCACGTTTTTAACAATAAAAGCATAAATTTGTAAAGAAGTGACAAAGGAAAAAGGATCCCAAGATCTGCAAACTGCAGGATGGTAGATATATGTGGAATCAATAGGAGACAAGGGCTACTTTCAGTAAGGTTTTGTATATAGATTGCTCTGGTGCTGCCTCCAGGTTTATAAGAGTCCAGAGTTGTCTCTAGTGATTAGGAATCATCACTGTAGATGGGAGAGGACGAAAGGTTTGTCGTGTGTCTGCTTTTTCTCAATGTGCACATCCTTTTTCTCAAGGATATTTTGAGCCTTCAACTCAAAATATCCTTAGGCCAGAGCGACATGTTTTGGGGGTGGCATATTCTGAAGTCCTTTGGGGGCAGCAGGAAGAGAAAGGGCAATGGGCCGGGCACACACCTGGAAGGTAGCTAGCTGTTAATGTCATATCAGGAAAAGGCTGGGTGTGGTGGCTCATGCCTGTAACCACAGCAGTTTGGGAGGCAGAGGCAAGAAGATTGCTTGAGGCCAGGAGTTCAAGACCAGCCTGGGCAACATAGTGGGACCTCTATATCTACAAAAAATTAAACAATTAGCTGGTGTGCTGGCACGTGCCTTTAGTCCCAGCTACTTGAGAGGCTGAGGCAGGAGGATCTCTCGAGCCCAGGAGTTTGAGGCTGAAGCGAGCTATGTTGTGGCCTGGATGAGACCTTCTCCCTAAAAAAAATGTTTAAAAAGAAGGAAATACACCACATTTTTAACAATATTTACCAGTGAATGACTAAATTATGGTGATCCTTACTGTGGAAGCTTTTTTATGTTTTACAAGTTTTCTATAACAGTATGCATATGTTTAGAACCAGGAGAAAAGTGCGTTTGTTTTGGTTAAAATATCTAACATGTATTGAGTCCCGTCCCTGCCATGTGCCAGCTTGTTGGGTGCAGGAGATACAAAGTGGCATGAGACAGGTGCAATTCCTGTCCCCAGTGAGCTGGCTTCCTTGTGTTTGCAGTGGCCTAGCCAAGACCTTCCAGGATTCTAGTGGCTTCTCCAACCCGTGTCATTTAGTGATGTCACTTAGAACTCCAACAACAACTATAGTTCATACCGTGTGATTTTGTTATTGATTATATGCATTTGTTTATTCTTTAATTGTTTCAAATGAATATATCTAATCCACCCCCCCCCCAAAAAAAAAGGATGGTAAGTTTTTTAAAAGAGAAAAATCATTCTGAATATTTCTTTAATACCCTAGAAATTGACCAGACTGGTGCATGTCATGTGCAATAAGTATTAATTTGCTGGTGAAAGTTCACTTTTTTGTTTTGTTTGTTTGTTTGTTTATTTTTACTGTCCACAGTACTTGTTAGTTGTTTATTTGCCAAGAGAAACTATTTTTTAGCCCACCTATTCATGGTTCACAGTTAGGACCCCAGGTCAGTGACAAACTTCTATGTACCGTGTTTCCTGGAAAATAAGACCTACCCATAAAATAAGCCCCAGCAGGATTTCTAAGCATTTGTGCAATAGAAGCCCCACCCCAAAAATAAGACCTAGTGATGGGCGTGGCTATGCAGCGCATCTGCACAACCCCTGCATTTCGTTGCAGAGTGGTAAAGAAAAAGAGCAGCCCTTCTCATCTGCCCCATGAGAGCTCTACTGCTCAACATGAGACATTGGGGCCAATGGTTCTAAAGGAAATAGAGTCGCAAGAAATTCAGGATGGAATTTGGGGTTTGGAGAGTTATGATGATGTTCCAGAAGAAGACGACTTAACTATATTTGAATAAATGTAGATTGTTGTACCGTACTTTTAAAATATAACATATCCCCTGAAAATAAGCCCTAGGGTGTCTTCCTGAGGAAAAATAAATATAAGACATTGTCTTATTTTCGGGGAAACACAGTAATTCAACCCGAAGAAATTCTTTATATTCCAAAATCACTTTGTACTCTGAAAGATACCAGCCTTCCGCACCCCCTCCAAATCTTTCATGGAGTCATCATTTCTGTAGCATCTGTGCCGCCCTTCTTTCTCTGTTCAGCCACAGCAAACTTAACAGAGAGCTGCGACCCCCGGGGACACACTGAACGCTCCAGCACTGTGAAACACCCTGGCCAGGGGGCCACGTATCCTAGGAGCCCGGAAGCTGTGGCACTTATTGTCCTTGATGGGGACATCAGCCTCAACACCAACGTCCTTCCTGGCTGATGGAGAAATGGACAGCCCAGAAAATTCCCCTTTGAATCGCCAAAGATCTAACTTTCCCATAACTACCACCTGTCTCTCGCGGATCTGTTTGCCCAATATTTAAACAACCAGTTCTTTCCCCACTTGCAGGGAAATAGTCTTAATTCCCCTTCCACCATTCACACTTCCTTCATCTCCACACTTCGACCAGCCAGCGCGCAAGCTTTCATGATCACAGTACGGCCGTAAACATCTACTTCAGCTAAGACTCTCCATAAAACATAAAATCATATTTACCTGTTGCTGATTTCACTTAATAGGGGATTCTATCCCTAAAATTGTGGCATACGGTCTTTAAATGAATTTGTGTGGCTTTTACTATGGCTGGGGTTAGATTCATTTTTGTTAAAGCTTTTTGGGTGGTTCCATTTCAATACAATCTTTGACTCTCATAGGAAAGATTAACATAAAGATTATCATAAAATCAAAAATACTGGGATTTGGATCTCAGCTCAACTGATAGAGAACCCCTAGAGAGATACTTCACCTCTCTGAGCCTCAGTTTCCTTATCTGTACAATGGGAATCATAACTCCTTCCTCTCGGTGTTCTTCAGATTGAACATGTGCACAGGACCTGTAACATGCTAGGTGGTCGGCAAAACATTTGTTAAACTGATCGAATGGACAGAGAGCAAAGAAATATTAGGACAACACTCACCTAGCTGTCCCAAAGGGCAGGGAGAGTGTTTGGTAATGGACGCAGAACTCCTTTTAGAGTCGAATGACATGGTCAAAGGTCAGCCCCTCCTTCAGTTAAAAGCTGAGGGCAGGGCTTAATAAGGAAGTGGCTCTCCTTCCCTAAGTCTCTTCAGCCCTGGTCCTAACCTGAAGAGGCCGCAGCCTGCAGCTCTGAACACAGGAGCCTTTCTAAATGAGAAGCCAGGGAGGCCTGTTGAAAGTTTCCTCTTCAGTTTCGTGGAGAGAGACTCAGGTGTAGCAATATCCTGGCTGCCACCTGACCCGGAGCAGGAGAAACCACTGGCAGCTTCCAGACCAGGTAACGCCAGGAGGCAGCAGGCTCCCTTCCCCGCCTTCTCGGGAGGACACAGCCGTCTGTAGTCCTGCTCTGCCGAATGAGAGGATCTAACTCGGGGAGCTAGTTCATGGGTTTCTTAAACAGTTCTTATCATGTAAACCTCAGGATGCAAAATGTCATTGAGAATCTAGTCTACTGGGGTTTCAAGGAAGGAGAAAGGTTTCTCTTTCATTTCTCTGGTGTGGTGTGGATAGTTTAGTTAAGAATACATTGCTGGTGGAGTCATTTTTGACATTATGCAGTCCTCTCTCATTGTGTGTCTGGCAAGGTCCGTGGTGACATGTCAGCCCATCAGTGGCCAGGGGTGCCACCGCCCCAGCTGGAGACCTTGGGGCTGCTGCTCCCCCTGACCAGAGCAGTGACAGGATCCCTGGTTTGAGCCGGAGTAGGAGCAGGAGGGCTGGCCCCGAGAGACCTCCTTAACTACAAGGTGCAGGCAAATGGGACAGTACCCCCCCTCCAGAAAGCTCCCTCCTCCCTGGGTTCCCTCCCTGCCCCTTCCACAGTCAGAGCCTCCGTCCTTCTGTCTGATGAATGTGACCCAAGGCTCTGTCTCTGAGTTTCGCTCCTACTGCGGGAAGTTAAGACAGTTTCCCCTCCGTCCTCATTTAACCCTTAGTATTAAAGAACATGCTGCATTTGGAGAGGACGGACAGGAATGAAGAAGAAATGAAGACCCTGAGAAGTCTGGGGGGAGGAGCGGGGGAAGGAGGCGGGTGCTGAAGGGGGGCAGGACCGAGCCGAGGATGTGGTGTAGGACCCTCCCTCGGGCGAGAGTGTCGACAGCCCTAAGTCACACTCCGGCCTCAGCTGTTTGTGCAGAGCACGTGGAAGTCAGCTCTTTCGCTGGGACAGTCACCAAGGGACTGTCCACGCCCCTCTCCACCGGGACAGGCGGAGGCAAAGCCAACCCCGCGTCAGTTCTGACTCCAGCGTAACTCAGGCACCGGGTTGCCGTGGCCTCTGCGTATGGAAACACTAAGCACTGGATGTCGTTTCCTCTGTGTGCTCATCCTTGCCTGTGGCCCGGAGGGAAGTGAAATCTGACCTCAACAAAGCAATCCACAGAGCTAGAAAAGTCCTAGAACTGTGAGTGGCGGTGACTGGGGTTTAGGTGCTTCCTGCGGTTAGGCCTCCCCCCTGAGCACGCAGGACATGGGCCACGCAGCCTGTGTCCTCACGGGACACGCTGGGGCAGCCCACCCACAGTGGCGCCAACAGAAGCAGCCGTGTCACCTTGCCTTTGAGAGCGCAGGTTTGTTACTGATAAGGAGAAAATCTGTAAGTACAGGCTGGCAGTAGCAGCTGTGTCCTCCGAGCCCTTGAATTAGGATAAGCCACCCTGGTCTTCTCTGGCTCCAGACGAGGCGTAGAATTATTTTTTCTAGATCTGTAAAGAATGACGGTGGAATTTTGATAGGGACTGCATTAATTCTGGAGATCACTTTAGATAGAATGGACATTTTAACAATATTGATTCTACCAATCCATGAGCATGGTAGGGTTTTCCAGCTATGCACATCGTCTACAATTTCTTTTCTCAGTGTTTCGTAGTTCTCCCTATAAATACCTCTCACCGCCTTGGTTAAATATATTCCTAAATGTTTAATTTTCTTGGATGCTATTGTGAAAGGTGTTGTATCTTTGATTTGATTTTCGGCTTGACTGTTATTGGCGTATATGAATGCCACTGATTTGTGTGCAGTGATTTTGTACCCTGAGACTTGACTGAATTTGTTTATCTATTCTAGGAGTCTCTTGGTTGAATCCTTGGGATTTGCTAGATATAACAGCATATTGTCAGCAAAGAGTGAGAGCTGGACCTCTTCTGCCCCCATTTGGAAGCCCTTCATTCCCCTCTCTTGTCTGATTGCTCCGGCAAGGACTTCCAGCTCTATGTTGAATAGAAGTGGAGACAGTGGGCAACCTTAAAAAAAAAAAAAAAAGAATTCGAATAAGCCTTGCAGGTGTCCTTCAGGAACTGAAATCTCCCCTCCGGGTTCTGAATGAGCGAGCACTCAGGGGCCCCACCCAAGGCTTCTATAAACATAAGCACAAAACTAACAGTTTGTGTTTCCATAAACCCAGACGTTGGGCTTCTTGGATAAAGTAAACTGTTGATCAGAATAGCTGAGAGCAGAAGGGATGTAACACGTGCCACTACTGCTATAAAGTAAGACTTAGCCACAAACGTAACCTTAGCTCTCCCTTCATTTATCGGGAGGATTAGTAGGAAGGAAGACTCAGCACCTGGTAAACACATTTAAAGTGTCTCAGCCAAGACAGGTCGGTCCCGTGTGCTCTTGTTTGGGCTTTGCTGCCGCTGGCGACAACGGCTCCCTGCTCCCCGCTGTAGGGTGACCCTGTCGGGGCCATTGCCTGACGCTGCTGCTCTCTCTGCCTCTCTCTCATCCTTGGCTTTGCCTGTGGATGGGGCAACGAGCAGCCTTTCTAGCCTGCAAGACAACAAAAAGCTCTTCTTTCACAAAACGGAAGGCCTGCGGGCTCCAGCCTGACCTCGGTGGCCCGCGCCTTTCTGATGTTTCTCCCGAATGAGCAGTTAGCAAACTGGCTTCCCGATGAAGCCCTCCCTCTCTCCAACAGCAGGCCCGTACACGATGTTAAAGCCTTCACACCACGTGAAGACGGTTGTGTTTTGTTTTTCAGCATACACAGAAGTTCCTCTTCGTGTCGTTTTTCTGGTGCCATGTATTTGCTGAAGACGTTGGCTCCTTAGTCTTGTCGTTTACCACGTACCGAATTTTGGTGGCTGCCTCCTTGTGGTCACTGGCTTATGCCTCTAGTCCCTGTATTTTCTGCAAACTGGTGGTTAGCTCCAGAGGCTTGATCAGATTCTGATCCAGCTTTTTTTTTTTTTTTTAAATCAGGAGACACATGCTGGTTGTCCCACCTTGAGTGACGCTAAGATGGGTCACTGCGTCCCTCTGATCCAGCCCCAATGCGGAACATTGTGAGGAGAGGCTTTGGCAGCTGGGCGGGGCCTGGACTGGAAGAAGGGCAGGGGTGGCAGGAGGCCTACGTAGGAGATGACAGGTGCCTTGGAACAAGGAAGTGGGGTTGGGGCAGGTGGGGACCCCGATGTGTGTCAGAGGCAGCCTGGACAGGACCGTGCCGTGGGCGGCGCAAGAGGGGAGGGCGGGATGGCCGTAGGTGGCACCTGGGGAGGCAGGAAGGAGCCTGTCCTTGGAGGAGACGTTGAAGTGACTCCTGACAGCAAACGGTCCTTATAATGTGAGCGTGAAATCGGGAGCAGTGGAGGGAAGAAAGACCGTCCAAGCACTAGAGGAGGACAGGACTGTGAAGAAGCAGCAAAGGAGGAAGGACAGTGACCAGGAGGCCACTTGGTGCCACAACTGCAAGCATTTGCTCACACTCCACTGTCTGAGGCTGGCTTGTGGGGCTTGGGGGCTGTGCAACATGTCTGTGTGTGTAGAGGTGTGTTGGGTTTTGCAATTCCGCCCTCTGCCACACCAGGAAATCCATCTCTGTCCCCTCCGCCTTCACCTGATGTTGTGGCACAGCCCCCTGCGGCCCTCCCGGGCTGGCTCCCTCCCACCGGGACTGCCCTGGCCGGGGCCGCTGCTGTCGCAGGGCCTGCCTGGCCAAGGAGCAGTTCCTCGGGTGAATGGCGTCTCCATTGGCTCGTGCAGCTTCTTCCAGATAGAGGAGAGGAAACCATGACGGGAACAGGAAGCGTCCGGCAGGCCCACAGGGGAGACATTTCAGCCCCCACTCCTCCTTCCAATCACAGAACCAGAGGGAAAAGTGAGAGAACAGTCTCAGTACAATAAAGTGGAAACTGAGGACCAAAACGCCGAGCCAACCCTAGCCATCCGCCCCTCAGACGCCCAGTCCAATTTTCTCTACCACGCCACACACCCTCAAACCCTGCCTGCAGTTACTGTCTCGTTTCTTTCCACGTTGGTCCTTGTATGACAGGGTACAGGGGAAAGAAAAGGAGGGACATGTCAGTCGATGCCATTATCATCACTATGGCTTATTTATGATCACGCCAGTTTACATGCCGAAATACAGGCTTAAAGTAGGACCAGTAAGGGAAGGGAACCTGATTAAGGGCCACCTCGAGAACAGAGCCAGAGGGGCTGGGATGACGGTTGAACTAGGAAAACAAAAAATAGCTACCACTTTGGAGCCAGGTTCTGTGCCCGGACTTCTCATGCATAGCTATGCCCTCCTTACATCCCTGCAAGGTGACTTTTAGGTGCAATTTAGTTTGCCCACAGGAAGCTCAGGTTCAGAGAGGCGGAGTAACCTCCTCAGGTCCCAACACTCGCCGTTGGCATGGCCATGACTTGATCCCAACACGGTTAGACTGGGAAGCCCAAGCTGACTGCCAGTACACCCACTGCCTGCGACATTTTAATCTGGTGAGAGGTGGCAGATCTGAGCTTTCTGACATCTGAGACTAAAAGGAAAATGTAGTCCTTAACATGCAGCAGAAGAAAGCAAAGTCGATTATTAACAAAAAGAGCTGCTTTCCTAGCAGGAAACCACAAAAGGAGTTATTTCCAGAAAGCCTAAGCAAAGGGAATTGGACAAATCAGTTCATTGTATCTATCCAGTTATTCGTGTGGAAGCTGAGATGAAATGCTTCCGTCCTGTCATTCCAGTGTGTGCCCTGACCTTCCCAAAACACACCTCATCACGCGTGTGACCTCATCACGTTCCTCTCAAAACTTGGAACAGCTCGCCATTGCCCCCCTCAGTGCATCTCAGATTTGTAAGAAAGTAAAAACAGGATGCCTTTTTCAGATGAAATCTTACATGGAGTGCCAGATATGGCAAGCGATAGCAGCAGACCTGGACGAGCTAACGCAGAGGGTGGGGGGAGAAGGGAGAGAGGGAGGGAAGGGTCAGTTGCCAAGTCACTTCTCCCCTGAGTTGGCCTCTCCCTTTTTGCCACCTCCCCAGCAAGACCTTTAACCCCCTGCACAGTCTAGGGCTCCTTTGGAAATGTTCTGATCCACATGAGAAATGCAAAGCTCTCAGCCCGATGATCAAAGCCCTCCATGAAGCGGCCCCGACTGCTATTTCACTGATTTTCCCTCCACTGTTCCCAAGCCCTGGCCACCTGCCAGGCACAGGCCTAGGCTACCCCTGCCCTCTCAGCACTCTCCAAACACACCCTGGATTCGCCCATAGTCTCTCCTGTGCCCAGCCTGTTCTTAGCCCCAGTGTCCACCCACCTGTCTGAACCCTTTCTAGCTCTCCAGAAGCCCTCATTGCCCGCTAGTGAAGCTGACCTACCCTCCCCGACTCTCCTCTTGCCTGGCCGTCTGCATCCCCCTGTGGCAGCTGGCTTAGCTCACTCTCGTGGTGTGGAGTTCCCAGGTCTGTCTTCTCGCCCCAGTAAAATGTGGCTTTCCCGTCGCTGGGTATGTACCTCCCAGCTGCCCAGCACAAGCAGAATAGCTGCTCCAGCAATGTTCACTGGGTGTCCGCCCCCGCCTCTCCCCACCTGCAAGGAAGGAATGGCCCCCACGTGGAAGGGCATGACGTGCACTTTGTTGTTACAGGCCCAGCATGTGCAGCACCAGCGCCTGTGACCTGGAAGAAATCCCCCTGGACGACGATGACCCAAACAGCGTGGAATTCAGAATCCTGGCCTACTACGTCAGACACCACGTCTTCAAGAGCACCCCTGCTGTCTTCTCGCCAAAGCTGCCGAGAACAAGAAGTCTGTCCCAGAAGGGTCTGGGGAGCTGGTCAGCTAACGAGTCATGGACGCAGGTGTCATGGCCTTGCAGAAACTCCCGATCCAGTGAGAAACCCATAAACCTCGCCAAGAAGAAGTCTTCCTGGAAAGCGCTCTTGGGACTAGTGGAGAAGGAGGAAGAATCGCAGAGCTTGCCTGCAGGGATCCAGCGTCAGGGGCTCAGAACAGCGGAATTCCAGGGTGGCCGTCCCAGCCAGCAGTGGTCCAGGTCCCTTCCTAGCGTGGACCAGTGCTTAGATCGCGAAGGTAGGCGTCTGAGAATTCTTCCTCTCCCACACCCTAGTCTTTCCCTCCTCTGTGTGTGCACAGTGGTTCGTCTTTTCCTGCCTGGTAAGTGGCCTTAGGGCACCTGTTGTGCCTCAGTGTTCCAGTGTATTAGGAGTCAGTAATAACTGCCCTGCTTTTCTCACGACTGAAAGGAAGACGACGGCAGGGCAGGGTGATAAGTCTGGTTTTCTGGCTCCACTGTCCCAGCTTGCTTGGTATAAGCTTGCTGCCTGAACTTCCAATTCTCTGTGCCGGAGACCAACTCGAAGGAAAGAGCCCTAGACAGGGGCTCAGGCTGCGCACTTCCCGCAGTAAGTCTCCAGGGCCTCTGCATTTCCATCCGCGCACTGGGGGTATCCCTCCCTCCCTACCTCTAGGGTTTGACGGGAAGATCAGAGAGCTATATATAAAAGTACTCTTCAAAGTATAAACCATTCCAAAAAACGAAACCCTCTGAGAAGCATTTTAACAAAATCTTCCCTCAGTGCGACAAAAGTAATTGCAATGAATGAAACATTTCGATGAAAAGCGTTGTCACAGACAGTTGCCCTGTGTCCACGCACCTTGGCGCAAGCATCTTCTTCCCCTCCAACAAGGCCTGGATTTTCAAAGAAAGCCCCCCTCCTGCTGGGCTTGATTGGCCTGGTAACTTGTGAACAAGTAGTCAACAGGTGGCAGTAATGCCTTGATTTTAAAATGTGACTGTCCCATTCATGGGCAGCTTTCGATCATTCACTACGGTCAAGGAACTTTCCGAGTCCCACTAGAGTTATAGACATTTAGAACAGCAGGAGTTGGGGGCAGGGTTACCTGGGGGAAGCTCACGGCACAGATAAGACGAGGAAACGAGAGTCCCTCGGGAGGGGCTTGACGAAGGACATGCGGCGGGTGAGTAGCAGGGCCTGGATCAAACTGAAGTCATCATCTGGGGCTTCGACAGCAGGCACCTGCTCTGGGCTCTGCCCGACTAAGCCTGGCAGTAGTGACTCTAGAGCAAAGGTGGGGGGCTTCCTGCTCCTTCCGGCAACCACTCCACCCCACCCTCGCCCAGCCCGGCTCCCTCTGGGGGAGGGGGAAAGAGGGCCTTATCTGGCTCTGGAGCAAAGAACAGTTTGGAGGCGCCTAAATAGGCTCTTCTGCTTTGCCTGCACCATGGACTTTGCCCACAGTCAGAGAAAACTTTTACAGACTTTTCATTTTGAGGCTTTTCCTAAGATAAATGATATTCTGTATTTTGATATTTACTAAAGTGTCATTTGACTTTTTTTATTTTCTAAAATTTGAGAGAAGCTTTCTTCTTCTTTTTTCTTTCCCTCCCGCCCCCCCCCATGGGGAAAGAAATATTTTATGCAAGATTTAGAATAAAAGATTAAATTTAAAAAACACATAGACAATGGGCTTACGTGCTAAATAGCTGAATAGTATCTGTGGCTGAAAATCGGCACATAACAAGATCCATATTCTTCCTAAAACAGTAGAAAGAACTACCCCTAAGGAGGCTTTGCTTTAAACACATGGTACAGCCCATCTTCCCTTCTCACCTTTCTCCTCGCTTTCCTGTTTAGTTAATTGTGTAGTTCTTAGGTTACTTGTATTGGCTTTCCGTTGGGCATGAACCAAGGGACCTCACATCCTATTTCTCTTCTGCCACATACAAATCAGAGCTGAGCAGTTGCCTTCTCTCCTGGGTTCTTTTAACCAAAGATCACAATTTAGCCTTGGGCTGCCACTTCCGGACCTCAGATACCAGGCTTACGTCGGAACTGGGAGGTCATGTCCCAAGACCAAAGTGTATTAGGAAGAGGCCTTAGAATGCAGAAGAATGGACATTAGCACCCGTTTTAAAGACTACCAATCTGGACTGTTTCATTGTGAGTCTGTTTCTCCTCCATAGCTATGATTGCCTACAGCTGGAATGTTTGGTTTAGATTAGGTTCAGTGATATATAGAGGAAAACCCAAGTAGCTATGGCTTAAATAATACAGAAGTTTACTTTCCTCTCCCTTAAAAGAAGACGAAAATTTGGCAGCTTGGGCCTTGTTCGTTTGGCCATTCCACGAGGTCAGTAGGGATTCCTGGGAGTCTTGCCATCCCTCAGCTCGTGGCTTCCAAACTCAAAGTCACCTTATATCCTAAGGTAGCTTCTGGGACTCCAGCCATCATGTCTCCAGCTATCAAGCCAGAAGAGAAAGGAAGCAAGGGCACCTTGCAAAGGCACCTTCTTTCTAGATAACTCAGCTCCTTTCTAGAGAGCACTCTTGAAACCGCTCCCAACTTCCGATGTCTCATTGGCCACCCCATTCTGCAGGGGAGGCTGGGAAATGTAGTTGGTTCAGCCAGGTCCTTTGCTGCCACTCACCTTGTGTCTGTTACTAAGGAAGAAAAAGAAAATGGATAGAGTGGGAATAATTCTGTCTACCACATGGAAGTCACTCCTAATCTCCCTGCCTGTTCTCTTTAAAACAAATGCCTCAGACCCCAGGCTGCCCGGCACCCTCCTGCCCTGCCCCTCTGCTGTCTCAGTGACCCCCAAACTAGACTCCAAAGAACAGGCCCTCCCCCACCCCATGCAATTTTCCCTTGCCTATCAGATGGGACCAAGTCTCACAAGAAGGGATTCTCTTCTTTTTTGAAATTAAGGCATTCAAGGTGGGAATCTTAACTAGAGCTAGTTCATCTGAGTCCAGATGTGTTTGTGTGTCATTTTCCCTGCACGTATTTCTTCTCACCCCTCACTCCATGGCCACTGAGTCACAGAAGTCACTGCCCTGTGCACAGGTTAGCCAGAGTGGGCACTTCTGTGCCTGCGGGTAGCCCTGTGGTTGCCCTGCCATAGGGTGGGGGGAAGAGGAAGTGGTAGGGGCCTTCATCAGCCTTCTTGGCATGCAAGATGGGCAGAGGGTAACTGCCAGAGGTAGAACTGTGCGCTGATCATGTGAGACAGGCTACCCAAGGTTGTAGAGGTAGCAGAGGTAGGCTTTCCTGTCCTGTCTCCTGTCTTCCCTTGGCCTTAAGAGCAAGACTCTTGCCCTTTCCTTGCCAGGGGCCGTGGGTGGCAGCATTCAGGAGGGGGCTGGTTGGGCTGCAATAAGGGGATTAGAAAGTAGGAAGTGTGTTCAGTTTGGTTATTAAAAACGAGAAGGCAAATCATTGATCCTCTTTTCCTTGACTTCTCTGTAACTCATTCTTTATTTTTAAACCCTAGGAACTAAGCGTGAGAAAAATGGCTTTAGAAGCCAGATGTCCCCCTGAGGATGGCCCTATGGACAGAGCACCGAAGCTCTCATGCTATGGAGGAACCCAGGGAGAGAGGATGTGATGTCACAGCCCGTTTCTCATGGGACACCACCTCCCAGGACCCAGCCCTTGCCCCTCTTATCCGTCATGACTTACCAAGCCCAGGAGCTCCCCAGGAGTTTTGACACCCCAACCTTCTGGCCAAAACCCCACTCCATGACTTTCTTCAAGTCTCGTGAATTAGCTAGCGTTATTCTTCAAACGTTACATGGTACAACACAGCCACTCCATTCGGCATCAAAGATGGAGCTTGTGCAGCTCTTAAAAGTTGAGAATGTAATGACAAATCAACAATGAAAGTGTCCCTACCCAACAACTCAGCCATACCACCTACCCACCCCACCTCACCCTGTCCCCAACCTCCCAAACGATTGCCGAACTAGTGAATGTCCTGTGCACATAGGGGTCAGCTCTCCGAGGTGTAAGGCATGTCCAGAGAAAAAGAATAATAATAAAAGCATAATGAGCATTCCCTCCAGGAAAGAACTGAGCACTCCCTTTTGTGTTTCTTCCCTTGCAAAGGGAAAGGGAGACCGTAATTTCGCAAGACTTCAAAAAGAGGGTGCAGAAGGGTAATTGTTTCAAGGTGACAATCACTCTTCGGTACTCCTCCCACATCCCAGCCTCTGCCAGGCAACTGCCAGTCCTTTCCCAAGAATGACCCTCCCCCCACACACTCCTGGGCAATTTCCTCTCATTCCAGACTGTTCTTTTCATCGCGGGCAACTGTGCATGCCAATGAGCCAGGCCAAGCTCTTCTGGGAAGGGCCTCTCAGCACTGTTTTGTCTTGTTTCAGCGGCGGACCCCAGAGTTGTTTCCATTGCCAACCGAGTTGCTGAAATTGTTTATTCCTGGCCACCACTAGACGCCCAGGGAGGTGGCGTCAAGTCCAGAGGGAATTTGGAATTCCAGGCTGTCTGCCTGGGGCGTGAAGGCCCCCAGCCTTTAGCTTCAAGTTCTAAGAAAGGTAAACTTCTTTGTGAGTGTTTGCGTTGGGTGGAGCGTTTGCCAGGGAGAGGTATAGGGGCGTTTCTGTATTTATTCAGGCCAAGGCTCTGCAATGACAGAGTCTCTGCTGACCGGACTGAGGGCATGACAGTCACATGCTGGGTCACTGAGCTCTAGCTGGAGACCCTGGCCCCAGGCAGGGGGACTGCACGGGCAGGTTGAACCAGCATGCCCAGCTCCCTAGGTCAAAAAAACAGTCTCCCATTAAGGGAGAGGAGGACACACAAAACCTGCCTTGAGCCCTGTGCACAGGGGGAAATGCAGCGTTAGATTTGATCATGGCGCCAGTGACCCTGGACCGATTTGTGTTGGGTGTAGTTGGAGCATCAAGCCAGGGGTTTATAATATTGCTCCGGGCTCCTGTGGAAAAGCAGGGGTCGTCAGACACCAGGGCTGGTGCAGAACAAGGAGCAGAACTGAGGAGGAGTGACCAGGCTGGGCTGGTTGTCACTCAAACTGGAGCAATAGCTGGGACTGCAGATCCCACCTGGCTGATGGAACTCTGGGCTCTGAGGGCAGACTGAAGGGGACCAGCACCAAGTGCCACTCGAAAGAAGCTTGGTCCCACCTTCCCTCACCACCGACAGGCCTCGCTCCCACTCCCTATCCCCAAACCCCAGTGGAGGACGACAGGCAGAGGTGGCTCCTGGGTTTGCAGCACCCTGAGGGACAAGGTGCGAGTTCTCCCTGCAAAGCTACCGGTGTCTCCTGACCTCTGAAGCAGAACGGTGTCCACACTCTGGGGGCCACAAACTGCCACCGAGGCTCCAAGGGAGGAGCTGGGGGGAGGAGGAGCCCTCCAAGTCTGCTGAAAAGAAAGCACTGACACCACACTGCTCTGCCAGGGCGTCAGGGAGGTGGAATTCAATCCCCTGAGCCAGGCGGAAGCTCAGGCCCTCAGCTTCTGTGCATGGGACAGACGCGGGCAGCTGGTCCGCAACCGCCCCAAGACAGGCAGCGCAGACGACAACCCCACTCGGGCCATGCAGACACCTGTTTCTTCCTTCTCTCCAGCCACCTGAGTCTCCCACTCGCCCTTAGGCCTTCTCGGGACTTGCTTCATCCATGTCCTGCCTCTCTTCCCCCCTTATTGGGGACAAACAGGACTCCATGACCACAGGCTGTGCTGTTCTCTCAGTACCCGCCTTTTCTCTGTTTGGCTTCCGTCCTGCAGCAGTGGCCGTGCTCCTCGGGGTTAGTGGTCAGCAAGTGCTGGGACGAGAACTATCACCCTCCACCTCCCCATTCCCACATACACGCCACGCCCCAACTGCAGCCCCGGCCCCAGCCTTCCGCCATCTTAGCCTTGAACGTGGGGACTTTATTAATTTTATCTGTTGACACCGCACCTTGCTGTGCAGAGACACAGCGTGCAAAGGACACATTTAGTCAGATAAAATCAATCAAATGTGAAAGATAATGTGAAAGGAATACAGACGCTGGAAAATAAGATGGGTTTAGGAATAAGGTTAGTTCCCAAAATGTAGGCCAAGGAGATTATGCTCCCTTCCAGCTGTGGGCTGCAGATTTGGCTCTATACTTCCTTCCTAGCAGCCAACACAAAGGGGGAAAGATGACCGAGTATGGGATTTATGGTGTCCATAAGGACAAAGTGCCATCTGCTGAGGAGAAGTCCCAAAGCCAAAGGGAAATTTCTCCTGAACGTCATCATAGACAGGGCCACGTGTCGTGGGACTGATGCCTTCAACGACATGCTCGTGGTAGACACGGTGATGAGTTTCACAGCGAGAACTGGAGGGCTGAGCAAAGGGAGAGGAGGGGAAAAAAGAAAGGAGGGGGGGACTGCAGGAGAAATGTCTGGAATGGTTTGTGTCTGGGAGCAGGAGAGGCGAGGAGAGATTTATTTGCTAAGAAGCAGACAGTGTGCTTCTTCTTCAGTCCCTTACCAAGCCACAAACATTCACTGCCACTGGAAAAATTTAAGATTATGTTTTGCCTCTTTTAAAAGAAATAACTGGAATTTTCCCCTGACAGATGAAGAAGACCAAGTAATAGCCAAAATTGTTGAGCTGCTGAAATATTCAGGGGATCAGCTGGAAAGAGAGGTAGGAGGCTCCCTGAACTAATGTGATTTCGGTCTGTGCCTGTGCACTGGTACGCGAGAAGGGAATGGCACTCCAGGTCACAAACTTATTCCCTTTCCAAGTTCTGGTTTCTACACAGTCCTAAATTTTATTTCCCTTGGAGTCAAAATTCTTCATGCTGGCAGCATCTCAAAAATGAATCACTTTGGAAAACATAAGTAAACCTCCTGGAGCCTCCTTGGAATTTTTGGAAACTAAAAAAGGAACTTGTTATTGCAAGAAAAAACAGCAGTAAATTAACATTCGCTGGATGGAAATATTAACCTCGTTCCCCATGTAACGGGTCCTCAGTGAAGTTTAGACGCTCGTGTGTGCCCGGCAGCCCGGATGTCTGTGCCTCACGGTCTCTCCGAGGCTGGAGTCCTTTCTGAAATCCTGTCCCCTTATGGCTGCTGGGCTGCTGTCTGCTCAAGGTCCCCCTCAGCAATTGGGCAGGGAGGCAGGCAGGTTAGCGTTACTTGGAGAACTTGTGGTTTTCCTGCCATTTAGAAGTTAGTTGAGACCCGCCCTTCCAAGCAGAAGCATGTGAGAGTCGCTTTCAGGTAGAGAGCTGGCTAGCAACCCCCGAGGTAGTCAGACGGGCTTCTCGTCTGTGTCCAGAGACTACTGAGTAATCTCTCGGGTGTGTCAATCAGGGTCTGGCCTGTGGACCCACGTCTTGGTTTTGCCAGGACCCCTAGGGACAGAGTCAGGCCCTGGGGGGGGGGGGGCTTCTGCAGGAGGAGAAGACAGCCCTGACTGGCCTGCCACCCTACCCCCATCATAGCAAGCTCCCGGCCCGCTCCCAGTGGCTTTGTCAGAACGGTGCCCACAGGATGGCAACCAGGAGGGTGAAGGGCCTGGGACATGGTGCAGAACGAGAAACAGAGAGGAAACCAGGGACATTCGGCTGCAGAAAAGAGAAGGGGGTGTGTGAGCTCTGGGGCCACAGGTAAGGGTGGAGAGGGGGCAGAGGGGGCAGGAAACAGAACAGGATGCGTGATTTAAGGACAGCCCTACATTTCTCCAGAGCGAACATCATGGACATAGAAGCGATGGGGCAAATAGTTCCCCCTTATCGTAAAAGTGACGTTTCTGGCACTCAGGCTGCGCATCAGGATCAAGGGCTGCTTTGGGAAGGGACGGTCTTCCTGGCACTGGATGAACTGCGAGTAGGTGCCAATGACCAGTCAGCAGTGCAGTACCCAACTCCGAGGGGTCCTTCAGACGTCCTCGAGGGCACTCACGGCAGCCTCCTGCGCAGCTCCCCTAAGCACTGACTACGCGGCCAGCTGGAGGCCAGGGAGGCAGGGGCTGGCAGGGCGTGGGCCCCCCTGGGCTTGCAGACAATGCTTTCCTTTTCACCCCGCAAATTACGAATCCTCCAAATCCTCCGAATCCTCACCGAGCCTGATGCCCTCTCTTGCTGATTTCTGGAGATATTTTACACTGTTCACGTAGAGACCTTGGACGCCATTGCCTGGACACATCTGCCCAGCAGGGGACCCCGGAGGGGACATGGGACGCAGGTGTGCGCTGGCGCTGTGGTGGGGAGCTCCCAGCACAGAGAGGGACAGCCAGGCTGGGGCGAGGTAGGCCAGGGCCTCGGGGGTCTGCAGAGCCACCGGCCCCGGGACGCAAGTGCGGGCTCGGCCCTTGCCTCCCTGAGCAGCCAAGAGCCAGGTGCAACCGGGAGGGACAGGCGAGGGACGAGCTCTGGGGAAAGCCCGTCTTTCTGGAGTTTGATCCTCTTACTGTCCTGGCAGAGTCCAGAGGTGCCACTGAGGTCTGAGCCGCGCTCATGGGTGGGGTCACTGACGGGAAGGAGGCCGTTCTCGGTGTGGGGGAAGCTGGCCGCTCCCGCTGCGGATTTATAACCCGGCCGGGACCCGGAGTTGGAGGTGGGCTTGGTTCAGGGAAAGGACACCGCCCCACCAAAGTCTCGCACAGCGTCTGACTCACGCCCCAGACAGCCCTCTCAGAAACAGTAGTTGCTGAAAACCCGCCTAGCTTATCATTCCTCAGGGACAGAGCTAGAGGATTTTCAAATAAACATTCGTCCCTGCTCACTAAGAAATTTCCGTTTTCGCATGACAGCCATCATATCAACAGGCATTTAAGGGTGGCTTTAAATGAGGATGATGCATGGGTTTTTTGGCATAAGCACCCCGATTTTTCAAAAGAAGCAGAGGAAGTATGGATTTAGAAAACAAAATATGGTCGTTCCAAGGAGGTAAAGCAGAGAGAGATCAGGTTCAAGGGAGGGAGGGAGGTACAATCAACTGGGTGGAGTAATGGGAAAGGAATCAATGGGATAGATTTTTTTTAAAGCTAACATATGCACGTCAGGGAGTCCTCCCTAACCCCCACGCTCCCACAGTGTCCTGAGAAACCGAACATTTCCAGAGCGCCCCCCCCCGTCCGCGCCCTGCTAAGTGTTCGGTGACTCTATAGCACAGGCACTGTCGCCATCCGGGTTGAGAGATGACAAAACTGAGCCTGAGAGGCCAAGTCATTTCCCCAGGTTTGCAGCGCTGGCAGGAGGTGGAGCAGAGGTTTGAGCCACGGCAGTGATTTCCAGGCTTTGTCACTCGATCTCCAGCAAAACGCGTGGCGCTGCCTCGCGGTGGCCACGGGACTGCGGGCCCGCGGATGGGGGCCGGACTCTCGGCCGTCCCCAGCGCCTGCCCGCTGCAAGTGCTCAGGGAATAGGGGTTGAATGTTGCCTGCACGGGCTGTTCCATTGCACCCCGAATTTGTCCCCATGAAATGAATTCACAGACCAGCATATTCCCGGTCTGGTCCTTCAGGACGCTGTGGCTTGATGATGAGACCAGCACCCAGGGCTTGTCCACGGCCTGTTTCGGTGGCCCTCGTTTGCGCTAAAGCGGGGTCCCCGCCGGCCTCCCCGGGCCAGGCTGCTCTACTGAACGCTTCTCCTCTTCCGCAGCTGAAGAAAGACAAGGCTTTGATGAGCAGCTTCCCGGACGGGCTGCCCTACTCTGTTTTCAAGACCATCACAGACCAGTGCCTACGGGGTGTGGACACCCGGGGAGAATCCGAGGTCAAAGCTCAGGGCTTCAAGGCTGCCCTTGCGATAGACGTGATGGCCAAGCTCACAGCGGTCGACAACCACCCGATGAACAGGGTGCTGGGCTTTGGGGCCAAGTACCTGAGGGAGAACTTCTCGCCCTGGGTCCAGCAGCAGGGCGGATGGGTAAGTGCGTCCTGTGTTAGCACAAATCTTCTCAGAACTCAGAAAAGATGGCACGGAAAGTTGGGTTTGTTTTTTTTTTTAAGTGAAGGGAACATGTCTATGAGGCAGTTCTCATGGGTTTAGGACACTAAGTGGCAAAAGATGCATCCCATGGATGGGAACATATTTTTAGTGATTGTCCCCATTGTTGACAGATATTTACTGAGCTCTGCAAGGGTACGTGGGATGCGTGTGTGCGAGGAGAGGGACTGGTCAGATGTCACAGGAAATGAGGAGATGCTGAGATATAAAATGTTTAGATGGATGTAATTTCCGTTTTCATGAATTTTGCCGGTGACAGAAGTCCGGCAGTGACAGGCGGGCGGGCAGGCAGTTCTCACGTGCACGGGGACCCACGGCGAGTTGGGGCTAATCCTCACGCGGAGATTTGGGGTCCATAACATTTTGTCACTGCTGCTTTGACGCAGCCATTTTGACAGGGACATTTGGGTACAAACTAAAAAGCAAACAATTACGTTTTCATCTATTTTTAATTATCTGGTGTCAGTCAAAATGAACATCTTCCCCGGTGGCTCAGCCCCAACCCCTCCCCAACCCTTTGTCCCCATTCCTTGAGATCTAAAAGCTCCCAGGTTCACATGGCTGCACAAGGTCGCCCTTGACAAAATGCTCCACCCTAGAGATTTAAGTCTCAAGAGGCCCCAGGCATTCCGAGGATGACAGGCCTCAGCCCCACAGGGTCCTTAGCCCTCTTCCCATTAGAGTGGTCCAGGGGCTCTAGGCATGGCCAGAGTAACCCTGGGACCTCCAAGCAGGCACGGTCTCCTGGCTGCCAGAAGGAAAGTGCTGCCGATCTCGCCCAAGGGGCTGAAGTGCCCACCCCGTGCAGCAGAATGATATGCACATTTCAACATCATTTAATCTATGGTGCTGTGTTAATGTTTTTTCTAGGCGGAGTGGTAGGTAGCTCACACCTGTAATCCTAGCACTCTGGGAGGCCAAGGCTAGAGGATCATTTGAGATCAGGAGTTTGAGATCAGCCTGAGCAAGAGCAAGACCCTGTCTACTACTAACAGTAGAAAAATTAGCAGGGTGTCATGGCATGTGCCATAGTCCCAGCTACTAGGGAGCCTGAGCAGGAGGATCACTGGAGCTCAGGAGTTTGAGTTGCGTGAACTATGATGATGCCCTGCACTCTAGCCTGAGCAACAGATGAGACTCTGGCTCAAAAAAAATATTAATAATTATAATATTTTTTCCCCAGAGAAATTGTAATTATCAATTGGTCTCACAGCCAGCTCTCAACAAGTCCATTCAACCCATAATGAGCTGAAATACCACGAATATTTCATAAAAAATAGTGTTCTAAACAAAGGCCCAAGCAACAAAAAGAAAGAATCAGATATATATTAGAACTCATTTGTGTCTTCAAAACCACCAACCTCATCAAGAAAGAAAAAAAACAACCCACAGAATGGAGAGAAAAATATTTATTATATATCCCAATACATATCTAAGTGAAGTAATCAACTATTAACAATTCATAATAAGCAGATGACAACCCAATTTTCAATGGGCACTGATTTGAATAGAATTTCTCAAATAAAGATGTTCATGCCAATAACACATAAGATACTTTTATGTCTTCACTTCAGACAGTAGGACAACAAACAAACACAATGAGCCTAACCCAGTAGGATGCTAAAATAAAATAGGAAGTGTTGGTGTTGGGTGGGATGTAGAAATTGAAGCTCATATATTGCTGGTTTGAATTGTAAAATGTTCAGCCCCTTTGGACCAATTTGCAGTCCTAACCACCGTTACCAATTCTTCCTGTAATATACCAAGAAATTGACCTCATAATTTTCAAACACACCTCTTACATGACATTTCATCACTCTCGCCAAACATGTCATCCACGATGAATGGTTGTTTCAAATTGTTCTAGTACCACACAGTGATATTATTTGGCCAAAATATTAAAGGATACATGGATGAATTTAAAAACATTATGTACTGGCTGGTGATTCATTGCTTGTAACACTGGAATTGGGAAGGCCAAGTGGAGGATCATTTGAGGCATAAGTTCAGACGAGCTTGAGCAACATGGCAAGATCCCATCTCCCTCAAAAAATTGAGATATTTCAAAGGTGTGGTGGCATGTGCTGTTCAGCAGCAACTGGAGGACTGAGGCAGGAGGACCTCCAAATTGAAGCCAGGTATTGATTGTAGTTGGCTATGAGACGGCCACTGCATTCCAGCCAGGCAAACAAAACAGACCTGTCTCAAAAAAATAAGATAAAATAAATATGCTAAGTGAAAAAAGACAGACAAAAAGGCCATATACTGTATGATTCTATTAATATGAAATATCCAGAATAGGCAAATTCATAAATGCAGAAAGTAGACTGGTGGTTTCCAGGGCCTGGGGGATGAGGGAATAGGGGTAACTGCTAATGGATATGAAGTCTCTTTTTGGAGTGATGGTAACATTCTAATATCAGAGGTGAGTCGCACAACTCTGTGAGTATACCCAAAACCACTGAATTATGCAGTTTAACAGGGTGAATTTATGGTATAATTATATTTCAATAAATCTATTATTAAAATAGTGGTTCTAATTCTAGTAATCAAATAAAAAGAGAAGAGAAAAATGAATGCATCCATTATTTTAATTTGGCTGCTGGTGCGAGAAAAACAGTTCTGTTAGAGAAAATGGATGAATTCTTTAGTAGAAATATTAAAGCAGACTTTCTACGTCTTCAGAAATAGATGCCTCTCCTTCTTTATCATCTGTAGTTTCAATTCAAAACCTATTACTTATCCAGGTTATCATAAACCTTAATCTTAACTCCTGGCCACAGTTAGTTTTAATTTAGAGCATGCAAGCAGAAATTGGGAGAAGAAAGAAAAAGAAGGCGGGAGGAAGCAATGATTTTTTTCTGAAGTGACAAGAAAAGTGTTGAAAAAAATAAAGGATGTTGATAAAAGAACATTGGTGAGCATATATGAGCTGATATGAGCTATGGCAGTGTGAAGGAGAGGTGGATTGGTGCCTGTGCTCAGAATCCCTGAACAGGAAAGGAAGAAGACATCGAGGGCTGAGCCTCCAGAAACTTCTACTGGCCATAAGTACTTTTGCGGCTCTCTGTGGTGTCCGAGTAGTGGTGTGGAAGGAGGGGGGAAACTATTCCCAGGCACACGCTTTTCAGAAGCTCAGGGTTCCTAACTATCTCATCATTCCATATTTCCTATGAGTGCATCCAGTCTTCCCAACTCAACTGCAAATCCGTGAGGGTAAGAGGCCGTATTTTATGCCCCTTTAATCTCCCAGGGCTCCCATTACTTTGCGTACATCATAGATGTTCAGCCAACACTTGTACAACAGTGAATGAATCAGTCAAACGAATGCATAGCAGCTCCACCCACAACACGTGCTCAACACCTCCTGCGAGGTTTTCATTGACTCCTGGGCTCTTTCTCCTCCCGGTGGGGCACTGTTCACATAGTCACCCGGCAGTCATGCAACCTTACCCATTCTGTAGCAAAAGGGGAAGTTTGCAACGTTTGTGGTCATCAACCTTTCAGTACCTGTTTTTTTGTGAGGTTTTTTTTTTTTTTTTTTTTTTTTGCATTTTAAATAGACACTCAAAGCCTTGCCATTCTCAAGAAAAGGTCCAGCGTGTTAGCCCGGCGTGTGTAACGTAAGACCATGGCTGATGTTTTCCTTGCGGGCATACCAAGGATGCCAGCCACCTCTCCAAACCCTCCCTCAACCCAACACAGTCTCCGAGCCTCGGGTCATGCCTGGGATAAGAGCAGAGTTAACAGGCATATGTTTTCACTTCAACAGTGAATCAAACTTGGAATTTTAAGAATCTATTTCTTTTCTCCCCCCCCCCCAGGAAAAAATACTTGGGCTATCACATGAAGAAATAGACTGAAATGTTGGCTTTGTCATCTGGAATACTCATTGTCCGACTGTGGCCCTGTGCACACTGCTCTCGGTAAGGACTACAGGAGAAAATTAAAACGTATAAGGCAGATGGAGCATTGAAGTTTTCAAAACCATCATTTCTGCAACCCAAGAGGCGTCAGGAGAGGCCCTGTTCGTGGAATGTGGCAGCGCGCTCCTTAACGTTGATGTGTCTCAGGTCTTCCATTGCGTGTATGAGGAAGGCTGTGAAAAGTGGCCATTTTCCTTTCAAATGTTCAGAGCAGAAACTGTCACCCTGCCTGTGTGAGCTACTTTAGGGAAAGTGTGTTACAGATGTCTGCTGACCTCATGAGGGTGAAATGTGCATGTGCTCACTCTTCGGTTTCTAGTACTATTTATTTTTAAACTACAACTTGGGACGGCCTAATCATGACACCGTTTCAAGCCTACCTTTAGGAAGATGTTGCTATTTGTGTCAGTAGGCACAGCTTAAAGAAACTCTTAAATTGACTGCTACATCCACTAGTTTGGGGAGGGAGGTGACTTTTTGACTCACTTCTCTTGGAAAAAGTCTTCATCAGTTTGAAAAACTTCCATGTGGTGCAAAACTATCATTCCAACCACCCTCACTCTCTTCTCAGTGGCCACACCTGTCCTTCCCAAGGTCTCTGGTACTTTCCCGATTATTCTTTGTGGTCATGTAATGATTGCTAGCTGGTAAAATAAATACATAGAAAGACTACTGACTTAAGCGCGTCTTCTGATTAAAATAAGTAATATGTACTAGTACTAGGGTGAAGATGACATGAGCTTTCTGTGAAGATGAAATGAGCTCATTTACATAAAGCACTCAGAACAGCTCTTGCTACCTAGTGGTAAGTATTCATTAATGTTCCTTAATACTTGCTGCCCTCAGCTAAGCTGAAAATTGCCTCTTCTCTCAAAGCGGTCCTTGATTGCTTTTCTGGAATTGAGGCTGTTCAGAATGAGATTTCTTTCAGTAAGTGAAATATGTTCAATAGTAAGTGTTTAAGATACAATTAAAATACGATCAAATTATAAGATCTTACAAATTTCTGGATCTCTAGCACCCAGCATACAGCCTCATGTAAAATAAGTGCTTACTGAGACTTTTAATGAACAAAGAAATGAATAAGTCAATCAGATATACTTTCAGGCTCACGGGAAAATTTGGTTTATCTATTAATATTATCAAGTGCTCCATTAGCCCACTCATCTCGATAAAATGAGTTATTCTCTTTTATTTTCTTCTCCCACATGAAAGTCATAAATGTTAGGGATAAAGGAGTCTCTTTTTATAGATGGAGACACTAGAGACCACCACTTACCCTGCTTTGATCCAACCATTCCAAACTACTTTCAGTTCCCCAAATGTATTATGCAACCTTGTACCTCTGAGCCCTTGTAACGATATTCTCTCTACCTGGAATGTTCTTCCTGTCAGCCTCCCTGTTGCCCTATTCCCACTAAAACAACTAACTCCAGACCATCTTTCCAGATGTACTCCATTTCCTCCAGGAATCATTTGCTAACCCTTCCGTGGCCATCATGGGGCTATATTTGGATGCCTTTCCTCATAAAGATTCTCCAAAACCCCCTCCACACAGACATTATACTTAATACACTGGACCGTAAGAACTGGTGTAGCCAGTCTGTCTTGGTGAATTGTAAAAACTTCTGTAGACAAGTGTTATGTCTAACTTAACTTTGTATATCGAATACTTGGCATATTTTTAGCATGCAATTGCAGAACCTTATCCTAGCCTCACCGCTATAGCTTATAAATCAGTATGACTGGAGTATGGCCCAAGATACGTGTCATTATAACAAGTTCATCAAGTGTTTCCAATATCATCTGCAGCTTCTGGTCAAGAATGAAGTAACAGTAACCAGATTTAATCTCCTGTTTGAACCAACTCAAAAAAACAGATAAAAGATGTGAAAACCACAATTTTCAGGGCATTGGATATCAGCTAATGGAGAACAGGTCCCCGAAGTGAGCCCTGTGATTGCCCCAGAGTATGGCATGTGAAGGTTGTCCCGGCCATGCTGCAGAGAGGGGAATCCTCACAGAGCTCACCAGTCTCCCTGGTAAAGAAGATAGGGCTGGGACTCTGGGAGGGCCACAGAAGCTAGAGTTTGCAGGCAGATAAAGAAGAGAGAGAGGCATGCAAAGCTCCAGAGACCCGCTGATAGTTTCCCTTAGGTCTTCAGATGAGTACTGATCAAATATGCATGTGAAGAAATTACCAATGGCTTGGGAAAGAACCACCTGAAAAATGTTAAAATGAACACTCTCCAAAGCTTACGAGAGGCCAGGGGTATTGCCTTTGTTTTGGCAAGAGGTAGAACACTCCAAAGAATTTTGTCTCAGAAATGGAAAAAAAAATTATCCTTAGACTAAGCATTCTTCTGGTCTTGCCCCACAAAGGGTAAAAGAGAAAACTGAAAGGACCAAACTGTTATTAAGTAATTCAGCATCGTTCCAGAACAAACTCAAGAATCTTTAAAGGATTACCCAAATATCCAACGCCCAACAAAGTAATATTCACAATGTGACTATTGTGAATATTATGTGCATCTAATCAAAAATTATAAGGCATGTAAGGAAGCAGAAATATGTGACTTATAACGGGGAGAAAAATCAAGAAAACTAGAAATGATACAGCTGATAGAATTATTAGACAAGAGTATTAAAATCATTATAATGGTATTTCATATGTTCAAAAACAAGCCAGAAGAATGACTGAACATGTGAAGTATGTATACAAGTTATGTCTCAAACCAAACACCAAGACGAAATCTATAATATCTTAGATGGATTCAATGCTGGATTAGATTAACAGCAGATTAGACATCATGGAATAGTAAGTAAGAAGTAAAGAATACATAAACTTGAAGACATAGCAATAGATCCAAAATAAAACACAGAGAAAAATGATTGAGGGGAAAACACATGAACAACAATAGTGAATTGTGGGGTGACTTCTAATGACCTAATAGATGTGTAATTGCAGTGCAGATTTTCCAAATTTGATGAAAACTATAAACCCATAGAACCAAAAAAAAGAGTATCCAAGGGAAACAAAGGAGAGAGCATACGGTAGGGAATAAAGACAGGGATCAATGGGATGATTTTATATTCTTTAAAGCTAACATTTGCAGTCAGGGATCCTCCCACCCACGCTCCCACAGTACCGACAACACACACAAACAACAAACACACAAGAGATAAAAACAAACACACCACAAAACAAAAAGCCTGCTAATGTATCGGTGACTACATATAAAACACAAACAACACGCCAGCATACAATACGGGTTGAGAATACAAACAGAGGGACACAAGAAAATTTCCCCCAGGTTTGCAGCGCTGGCAGGAGGTGGAGCAGAGTTGGCCACGCAGTGACTTTCCAGCTTTGTCGCGTGATCCAAGCAAAACGCGTGCGCTGCTCGCGGTTGCCGACGGATGCCGCGGTGGGGGGGCCGGACTCTCGCCGTCCAGCGCCCTGCCCGCTGCAAGTGCTCAGGGAATAGGGGATTGAATGTTGCCTGCCACGGGCTGTTCCATTTGCACCCCGAATGTTGTCCATGAAATGAATTCACAGACCAGCATATTCCCGGTCTGGTCCTTCAGGACGCGTGGCTTGATGACTGAGCACCAGCAACCCAGGCGCTTTGTCCACGCCTGTTTCGGTGCCTCCGTTTGCGCTAAAGCCGGGTCCCCGCCGGCCCTCACCCCCGGCGCCAGGCTGCTCTATGAACGGCTTTCCTCTCACGCAGCACTTGACAGAAGGACAAGGCTTTGATGAGCCAGCCCCCCCCTTCCCTGGACGGCGCCTGCCCTACTCCTGTTTTCCAAGACCATCACAGACCAGGTGCCTACGGGTGTGGACACCCGGGAGAATCCGAAGTCACAGCTCAGGGCTTCAAGGCTGCACTTGCGATAACCGTGATGGCCCCAAGCCTCACAGGCGGTCGACTCACACCACCCGATGAACAGGGTGCTCCGGGCTTTGGGGCCAAGTACCTGAGGGAGAACTTCTCGCCCTGGGCCACGCAGCAGGCCGAGTGGTTAGTTGCTCCTTGTGTTTAGCACTAAATCTTCTCAACTCAGAAAAGATGGGACGGAAGTTGGTGGGTTTTTTTTTTTTGTTTTTTTTTAGTGAGGGAACCTGCTATAGGCAGTTCTCATGGTTTTAGGACACTAATGGCAAAAGATGCATCCCATGGATGGGAAACATATTTTAAGTGATTGTCCCCATTGTTGACAGATATTTCTCTGAGCTTCTGCAAAGGGTAAACTGTGGGGATGCGTGTGTGCGAGGAGAGGACTGGAAGATGTCCACAGGAAATGAAGGAGATGCTGAGAATAAAATGTTTAGATGGATTGTAATTTCCGTTTTCATGCAATTTGCCGTGACAGAAGTCCGGCAGTGACAGGCGGTGCGCAGGCAGTTCTCACGTGCACGGGACCCACGGCGAGTTGAGGCTAATCCTCACGCTAAGATTCGGGTTCCCATAACATTTCTCACTTGCTGCTTTGACGCAAGCCCATTTGTGACAGGGACATTATGGGTACAAACTAAAAAGCAAAACCAATTACCGTTTTCATCTATTTTTAATTATCATGGTGTCACGTCAAAACATGACACAGTCTTCAGCCCGGTGCTCACAGCCCCCAACCCCTCCCCAACCTTATGTCCCCATTCCTTGAGACCTCTAAAGCTCCAGGTATTCACAATGGCTGCACAAAGGTCCGCCCTTTGACAAAATGTCCACCCTAGAAGATTTAAGTCTCAAGAGGCCCCCCA